GTTTAATGAAGCATATGTTCGACGAAAATAATTTTATTGTGCCATTTTAGTTTTCTTCCTGGAACAATATCATTGTCCTAATTAATGCTAATCGTTTATTCTCGATAATAAATAATAAAAAATCAAATTATATTCGTGGAACGATGTATAAAGATAAATAAAGTAGCATATTTCTTATTTTAGTGTTAAAAATGTAAGCTTATTTTCAGATCTTATTTCAAATAAAATGTCAGAAAAAGTGCTCGATTTATTTGATCAAATGAATATCCAACCTGATCAAGTTGTTTTCAATACTCTATTTAGTGCTTGTGCTCGTGTTGCTAATGATCGTGCTAAAGAAATTGGAAGAAAACTTGTTCATTAAATGCCTAAACATTATCATATAGCCATTTTACGTACATAACTAAGTGCAAGATTCAAGTGTTGGATATAATCTAATTACTTTGTTGTAAAGGAAGTGTTTTTGTAAATCTATTTCAGTCCGAATTCGAAGGATGCGTAACTTTCTAATACGGATCCAGATGTAAATCACGTTAAGTTGTGATCTCAAAGAATTTGTAGAGTTTTTTGAGTTGCCTAGTACATCTACAATATACGCGTAGTTTATTTAATATATTATGCATTGTAGAACTTCAATAAATTACTCTAAGAAAAATGCTGTTAAAAGAAAACCCAATTTTACTCAAGATTAACATGTATCTGATTTCTCTCTTCTCTTGTCCAAATATATTCATATTCTTGTAAATCCTACTACTTTTATACTCTTTCTATGGATGTCTATTATACATAGTACAATATACAAAAATCTAGGGGTGAGAAATTTATTGTTGTTGTTATTGTTATTAATAATAACAACAACAATAACAATAACTTTCTCACCCCTACAAAAATCAGTTTTTCATTCTTCTTAATTTCAGATTAATTTTGTTGCACTATGTAATTTATGAATGATGAATAATTCATTTATGTTTCGTTGGATTTTATCTTTTTATCAGAAAAGATGTACAATAATATTTATTTCATCATCATCCACATCATCAAATTCATCATCACCATCGAATAATATGTATTCAACAGTGAAAAAACTGATGGATGATAAAAAATATAAACAAGTTCTATCGTTATTCGATAAACAATTGGATTGTTGTACAGATGATATTATTCATATGGTAGTAAAAGCATGCAGTTATTTACATGAACATCAACGTATTACTGATATTGAACAAAATCTTTCGTCAAAATCACTGAACAATTCTTATATTCAAACAGCACTACTACAATTCTATAGTAAGTGATGATTGATTGACTTTTTCTAACGAGATTCTTACTAAATAAAATAAGAATATATATTCATATCATTTTGATTAACAAGTTAATTGACTTTTCAGAAGATTCGATCTATATCTGTACTTAGGATTTCTTTTTTCATTTGACTTCTTTGATGAAATATTTCTATAGTAAACATTCATGTTGTTTAATTAGAAAAACTGTGTACAGTTGAAAGTCTTTTTATTCTTAGTCCGTGAATCAGTTTCAGTAACTTGTTTTTCTGTTGGATCTAGATGTAGTTCTAGTAGATTTGTTCTAGCACTAATATCAGCCTCCTTTTTTATCACTTATCTCAATAACTTGACTCTTTTCAATGTTGAATCTGTAAGTCTGAGTGCGATTCAAAGTAAAAAAGCCTCTAAAAAGAAGTCATAAAACATCAGGAATAAATAGAAAAATATGAAAGAGATTTTCATATACACACATTTCCATCCTTAGCATTTTTACGCTTCCATAATATTTATTATATTACTTTTCGACATGTTTCTTTTCGTGCAAAGTAAAAAGAAATTATCTATCCAGCTTTTCATGTCGATTTAAAGATAGCTAATATTTGCGATTCTATTTATATTAGAGAACGTTGTAACTCGTCACGTGAAAAGTTGAACAAACAGCAAAAATCAGACCTTTCATAACATCAAAAATAGGAATATCGTAACGATTAATACAGGGATCTCGTAAGAGTTACAGAGCTTTCGCAACAAAGCAACAGGGATTTCGAAATGAGGATGAAGGTGATAGCTGAACTTAGTTTGCAGAAATTACATGCTTTTCATTACAAAAGCTCTGTAGTGGTACATGTCAAAATACCCGTTACGATTACTCTGTAAAATGTGTTACGAAATCCCTGATTTTTTGTTACGAAAGCCCTGATTCTGCCGTTACAAAAGCTCTGTTATGGGCTTTCATACTGTCAATTCGTTACGAAAGCCAGAAAACAAAAATCGTGACGAATTGCAATGCTCTCTTATATTATATTTGAAACAATTCTTGAATATTTATTGTTTGATTAGTCACTCCATCAATGTCATTTTTGTTAGTTAATTTTCCTCCGAATAGACATTTGACTTTCTCTTATTTAACCAATCTATGAGATAAAGCTCAAGTTTATGGAAAATTAGAATATATGTATATCAATTCCTAATAAATTTCTTTTCATGAAACTGTATGAATATTTTTTTCCATTTTGCTAAGAATAAGAAAACAAAACTTGTTAGCACAACTCTAAAGGAGCTAAAATGTGGAACTCATGTATATTTTAAAAATTTTTGTATCCTGATACCTAATGTTTAATTTGTAAAATACCATTTTTTTTTTCAATATCTATGAAATCATCGATATATTATATAAAAACTAGAGCCTTTTATGCGCGGTTGCTGAGGTCTGTAATGTTCTCTTTCCTGTTGCTATGTGTCTGTAATGGTGTGGGGGAGCGGGGGGGGGGGGGGGGGCGGAGCCGCCAAACCTCGAACTTAAAACTTAGACTCACTTTTTCTTCGAAAATATACGTGAGTTCCACAAAAAACAGCAGAAGTTTTTTTGATATCTTTGTATTGACTATAGTGTTGTTTATATATCATAGAATTTTCAGAAGCGCATGAAATCTTTTGAAATTTTCCAAAATCTTTGAGATTCTTCCCAGTCAATTGAAGTCCTGTGAAATCTTGACTTGTTTGATAGTATGTAAGACTGAGGAAACAATCCTCAACCATTTTTCATTGTATTGGAAGCATATTTTTATTATATTATGAATATCTATATTATATTTTATTTTTGCTACCTTCAATTTGTTTTGTAATAGATGATTCAAAAGGAATACTGAAATGGGAAAGTATAGACATCTGCATTTTCTTCCGCCAAGTAGACATGACAAACATAACACATTGTAACAGATGTACAAGGAGATCAAGATCGAAGATTAGAAAGGTATTCTCTAATTTCTGTTGAATCTTCAGAAATGATATATTTTTTTGCTTGATGATTTACAAAAGCTTTCGTGAAATCGTTGTTCTCCTGCAATTTTCTATTTCCCAATACTCTATGGATAGATTATTAGAATTGAAGTTTTTTAAGAATTACTTTTAAACGCAAAATGATTGATAATAACTTTTTTGCATTCTCTGTCATTATGTATTGTAATAGTATATAGAAATTCAAATCTGATACATATATTGCTGTGTCTATGCATTGAAAGAAAGACGATCTCTATCGTATTTCATATTTGAATGTCAGAAAGATTGTGTTAAAAGTTTCTAAAAGAGGTTTTTAGAGAAAAAGTAAAAATGTTGCCATTATCAAAATTAGTTTTTTCTTATCTTTGTGAAATTGAACGTTTCGTCAGATATATTCAGTGCGTATTTGTCTCGAAGAAATTATACATATAGTTCGTTAAGACGACTCCTACCACAAGTACTAACCTTGATTATCATTTTTCAGGTGAAAAAACTTTTGTTTTTTTTTGCGACAAGTGATTTAAAAAAATCGCCAAATAATTGAAAATATTAGATATTAAAAATAAGAATGTTTAATAACATTCTTATATGTCTAAGTTCTTGAAAAGCTGTGTTACAATAACAATTATGAAGAAAGATTGAGAAGGTTTCAAATAGATATCTTCATATTTTAACTAGAAGAAAAACTCGAATGGAACATTCTCTTTAGTTTTCTAATATTCGATAGACTATTTCAACCATGAGAAGAATAAAGCAATCCATGATAAGAAAATATGTTGTGCATTGATCGTTACTAATCATGATCAACACTACTGATAATTTATATGGAACTCTGCTCTGTTAGATACATTTTTCAATCCTTCCGATGGTTGACAATCTCATTAAACAGAGAACATTATGAAGAAAAGCTTCAACTAAAGTTTTTTTTTTTAAATTTATTATACTGTGCCATGTTGCACCTGGTTCACAGATATGGAAATATAATTAGAAAAGAAAAAGAGAGAGAGAGAGAGAGAGACTAGTACAAAAACATGTATAACGAATATAAAACACCAACAATATAGATGAGAAATATAAAATAGAATAAAATAAAAAAAGAGAGAGAGAAATACCACTGTATATCACATTTACCTATAAAAGTACATATTGACAACAACAAAACAAAAAAGAACAACATATATTCAAGCATAGATGATTCTAGTCTGATACAATGATCGCTCTGACTTATGATCTATATGTCCTGTATGATATCTCAGAATATTGCAAAAACTACTTGTAAACATAATCGTCTATATATGGGCTAAATCATTCGTTAGCGACGTAACATCACAAACTTGCAGTATGTATACCTCGGAATTATTAGCTAGTTTAGGTGTGATTTTTGTATGTTTTACTAGTCTCTATTTACTTTAGATATCATGAAAAAATCAACACTCTAGAGCTTTGTATAAAGGAATTACTAAAGAAAAACCATCGTTAGCGATGTGACACCCAAAAACGACATTAATGGTTACTTGATATAATTTGGTCTTTAAAAATTCTTGATTGTTGCGCGTTTGCCAAAAACTTGATAGACAATACTAGGCACGGCTCTTAAGGCTATCGAATCTTGATATAAAATTATTTTAAACATATGTAAGTTTTTCAAAAAACAAAACTTATTTGGCGTTAGCGACGTGATTGAGTACAATTTCACTACCGAACAAATCCTCTGGTAACGAACTAAAAAGTTCGAAATCGATTCCAAGGGGCTCATGTTAATGGTAGAAGTCCCTAGAATAATACTGAGATAAAGATTTTCGTTTTCGCTCTGTCTAGAGGCTTAGAAAGGTCGATTTTTTGTGGAAACTTTTTGAAGTCCAACTTCGCTGAAAATTTTACCATGTATGCGAGTCATCACTTAGAGACTATGCTGAAGTTATCAAGTTTTTTTCTCATTCAGTTATCGAGATATTCGCTAATTATTTCTTAATTAATTAATAACTAGGTGAAAGAGCAGACAATTTCACATAAGTCTATGGAAAAACAATTCACTCAAAAAACTTATACTGAGAGAGGCTTGCATTCAGAAACAACAGGTGAATGTCCCGTTTTCTCTGATTTAGCCTATATATTCATTTTCATTCTTGAAATATTCATATTGTGTTTTATGAACTTCTTCAAACATTAACCACTTAACTAAACAGTATGTTATCTGTTGAATAAGTCTACGAGGAAATACACTATTACGTCTAAAATTTAATGTCTTCCTCTAAGTGTTCGGTGTGATAATAATTAGATAAGCATTCCAACATTGTTGGAACACAAGACCTTCATCAGAATTTAAAAGGTAGTAGGCAAAGCGTTACCAATACTTATATAAATAATAGCTTCAACTAAAGTTATCCTTCTAGTTTCATTAGGAAAATGAACTATGAAAGAATATTTTTTTTTTTTATTGGTCATGATCATTATACAGACATTTATTAAAATCTTAACAGGTACTTAGTTACTATGTAAGTCGCATGACTATATGTCATATGTAATAAGTTCACAAAATTTCACATCGATCTCATATATTATTTTTTTGTCAACAGAAAATAATCAAAATTTATTCTCTGTAAAGGAAAATTTCTGAAACATTCAATAGAAACTCATTGTTATCGATTGAAAATCATTTCTATTTAATAAAAATCATAGCACTATTCACAATAGAGATTAGAAAAAAACGCATATGTTTTGATTGATTTAATCATTGAAAAATATCATTTTGAATGATTTAACAAAGCATGTTTTGGATAAAAAAAAAAAATTTATTATTTCATTCTATTTTTCTTCCTAGTACAAAATCATGATATGAAAAATGCTTGTCGTTTGTTTTCAACAATAAATAATAAATCAAATTATACGTATGCAATTATGTTTAAAGGTAAATAAACTTCTATATTTCTTATGTTCGTATTCAAAATGTGAACTTATTTTTAGGTCTTGTTTCAAATAAAATGTCAGAAAAAGTGCTCAATTTATTTGTTCAAACGAATATTCAACCTAATCATGTTATTTTAACTATTCTATTTACTGCTTGTGCACATGTTGCTAATGATCGTGCTAAAAATATTGGAAGAAAACTTCTTCAACAAATGCCTAAACATTTTTATAATAATAATTTTATACTCACTTCAGCATTAAATATGTTAATGAAATTTGGTGATGTTAAAAATGCTGAAAATTTTTTCCAAATGATGAAAAAGAAAGATGTTATTGCATATGGTGCTATGATGAAAGGTAAATCGGTAATAAATATTTATCGAATATCCAATAAATTATATTTAGGATATGTGGAAAATAAAATGTATGAAAAAACATTAGATTTATTTGAACAATTACCTTTTTCACTTCATAATGTCGGTTATATTATAATATTCAATGCTTGTGCACAACTTTTGAATGATCGTGCTAAACAAATCGGAAAAAAACTTCTTCAACAAATGCCTAAACATTTTTATAATGATAATGTTATAATTACTTCAGCATTAGATATGTTAATGAAATTTGGTGATGTTGAAAATGCTGAAAATTTTTTCCAAATGATGAAAAAAAAAGATGTTATTGCATATAATGCTATGATGAAAGGTAAATTGATAATAAATATTTATCGAATATCCAATAAATTATATTTAGGATATGTGGAAAATAAAATGTATGAAAAAACATTAGATTTATTTGAACAATTACCTTTTTCACTTCATAATGTCGGTTATACTATAATATTCAATGCTTGTGCACAACTTTTGAATGATCGTGCTAAACAAATCGGAAAAAAACTTCTTCAACAAATACCTAAATATTTTCATAATGATAATGTTATAATTACTTCAGCATTAGATATGTTAATGAAATTTGGTGATGTTGAAAATGCTGAAAATCTTTTCCAAATGATGAAAAAAAAAGATATTATTGCATATGGAGCGATGATGAATGGATGTAATATAAATAATCAACCGTTCAAATGTTTACAACTATTAGAGAAAATTAAACAACAAAATTTTATAATCGATGAATTTTCATCAAGTATATTGATAAATGCATGTGCACGACTTAGTATGCTTTCAAAATGTCAATTAGTTGTTGATCAAATTCCTTCATATTTATATAAAAATCAACATATACTTAATTCATTAATTTATATGTGGGTACGTAATCATTTTTGAAATTTTTGTCACAATTAATTTCATTCACTCATTTTTTTTTTTTGTCTCAGGGAAAGGCTGGTTCTATTGAAGATGCTCAGAAGATTTTTCAATCTATTGATAATCCTGATGATATTACATATAATTCATTGAGTAAAAAAAAAAGATTTTTTTATCATTGTTTTTCTATTAATTTCTTTGTTTTTCAAGTTTATGTCTATGGACTTAATCACATGGGTTTAGAAGCTGTTGATTTATATCGAAAAATGCCTAATCATTTACGTAATGAAGTGACATATGTATGTGTATTAAATGCATGTTCTCATTCGGGTCTTCTTGATCAAGCTCATTCTATATTCAATGAAATTTCTCAGAAAAGTAAAAAAATTATTGCTGCAATGGTTTGTTTATTTATTTGTTTATTTTATCAAATATGAATATTATTTTATGTTTTAGGTTGATTGTTTAAGTCGACTTTATATATTTGATGAAGCACAAAAACTCATAGATGATTATGAAAAATCTAATCCACCTTCTTCAGTTATGTATAGTAAGTGTTTTCGAGATTCAAAATTTTTTCTTGTTTATATTGCTATATGTTTGATTTTAGTGGCAATATTATCTGGAGCACGTAATTCTCGTCAACATATTTTATCACAAAAAATTTATGATAGAATGACAATGTTATTTCCTAATGAAAAAGAGGCACTCAAGTCTGGTTCAGTTCTTCTTGGTAATACATATTTATCTATAGGTGATCATGAACAAGCAGAGAATGTTCGATTAAATCGAATCAAAGAATTAGGAACAAAAATTCAACTAGGAGTATCATGGACAGAATTTAAAGGTGAAATTTTGGTAAAACTAATTTCGAATTAACATCGTGAAATTTGAATGAAAAATAAATCTGTTTATTTTGTCTTGTTTCTCAGGAGTTCAAAGCCAATGATCGTCGTCATCCTCGATCTGAAGAAATTCATGCTAAAGCAAAATATATATCCGATGTATTGATCAAACATGGTCATGAATATGATGCTAGTTGGATAACTCGTTCATTAGGTGAAGATGAAACAACTGAATCTGTATTATGTACTCATAGTGAACGACTGGCAATCGCTTATCATTTTTTACAAGAAGAAAATCCATCGTTTATTCAGATTACGAAGAATCTTCGTGTCTGTGGAGATTGTCGTAAGTTCTTCTTGTTCTGTTTTTTTCCTATCTTTATTAGTAATTTATGTATCTATTGTTTTAGATAGGGCAACAAAACTCATTGCCAAAATTTGGCAATGTAAAATAATAGTACGTGATGCAAACTGTATTCATCACTTCTCGCCTGATGGAACTTGTTCGTGTCAAGATCAGTTTTAGTTGTTGTTTTTCTTTTCATTTTTTTTTGTTTCATTTTTGTATCGTTTATCACTTTATCATATGCAAAAATAAACAACATGTATGCTCTAATCATCCTCTTTTCTCTTTTATTGATTGATGTGAAAAAAATATTTTTGATTATGAGATACAAGTCATATAAAATATGAACTTGAAATTCGTATGTCTTGAGAAGAATTACAAGTTGATGTTGATCGTGGGTAGGCCTGGAAAGTTATCATTCCTGGGTAACGGTCCTACTATTGGGAGATCCTTAGGTCCTCAAGTCCTACTGTTGGGGGATACCCTTGAATTCTCAACTCCTACTATTAGGAGGTACCTTGGGGTCCTCAAGTCCTACTTATTGGGGCTACCTTGAGGTTCGTAAGTTCTACTATTGGGGGGTATCCTGAGATACTCAAGTCCTACCATTGGAGAGTACCTTGGAGTCCTCAAATCTTACTATTAGTAGGTACCTTAAGATCCTCGGGGGCAAATACACTTATCGATCCCACTCATGTATCGACAAAATTCGAGCAAATTAGCCCCCTGAGAAGTTCATTAAAAGTATTGCTAAGGATTCCAGACCAACACTTTAAGAGATAAATCAATTCGAAAAAAACTAAAAATATGCTAAGTGAGGATGAGAGTAAGAGAGCATAATCGGTGGATCAGAATAAATGGCCGTGTTTTGTATTTTAGTTTTTTCTCATCTAATAGGCTTTATAGAAAAAAAACAAAATATATCAAAAGATGCAACGTGAAAAGCTTTACAAATTACATGAGATCGCTTACTTTATTTATATACTTTTTGTTTTGAAAATGCACAAAAAACATTGAACCAGCGAATTTCGACTTTTCGAAAATTGGTCGTAGAGGATCTTGCTTTTTCAGAAAACAATTACAACAAGCTTTACAGTGCAAATTGTAGAGCTTTTTACACTGCATCTTCTGATATATTTTCTTTGTTTTTGCAAAAATATATTAAGTAACAAAAAGATAATAAAAGGAAAAAGCAAGTCTCGTTTATGAGAAAAAATGATTCTTTCTTGATGGCGAAAATTGATCGCACAGAGTTTAGCTTTTTTTGAAGACAAAAAGGATATAAAATAAAATAAGGGTTATTTTATAGATTATAGAGCTTTTCACACTGCATCTTGTAATATGTTTTGTTTTTCTTTTAGTAAAGCATATCAACTGAGAAATAACAAAAAAAATGAATTCGTTCTATAGCAAAAAAAAAATTATCTTTTTTGGACGATCGAAGTTTGGTCAATCAGAATTTTGTCCATTTTTAAAACAAAAAGTGTAATTATAAAATAAGCCGTCTTATGTAAATGGTAAAGCTTTTCACGTTGCATCTTTTGGTATATTTTGTTTTTTTTTTTTTTTATAAAGCCTATTAGATGAGAAAAAGCTAAAATACAAAATACGGCCATTTATTCTGACCCATCTATTATGTGCTCCCTTACTCTCACCCTCACTCTGCATATGTTTTACTTTTTTTCGAATCAATTTATCTCTTAAAGTATTGGTCTAGGCCCCTTGACAATACTTTTAATAAATATTCCAGAGGCTAATTAGATAAGTGTATTTGTCCCTTCCAGAAATTAATTATAATTCATCTAAGCTTTTGATTAGCTTCCTTAGGATACCTAAAACAATCTAAAGAAATTAATAAAAGATTGAACATTATATTTCATAATTCACACGCTCTCTAACCTATCTCAAAGAGTATCCATACACATGCATTGAATATTAATGACAAAAAAAAACAGAAAAGGTCCCTCTAGTGAAAATGAATTTATAGTGATGCTTTCATAGATAAACTAATTTGTTCGTTATAGTCATGTTAGTTTTTTTCATCGAACTGCAGACAGAAAAGAAAGCATCTTCTCTATATGATTGATCACAAACAAATACGATTATGGTCAGATAAATATGTTTTTATATTATTTTCTATATAGAGACATTTATAAACAAAAGAAGTTAGAATCACTTATATCTATATTAATGAAACTAGAACTATCTGTAGATCCATGCATCTATACAAAAACCTAGATGAAAATTTAAAAAAAAACCAATAGATAAAATTTTCTTTTGAGCAGTGTAATATTTAATTTCCTGTTTGAACCTATTATTTCATATAATGAGATATAGAAAATAATCAAAAGGATTACATCAACTAAATAAGACAATATACTTGATGGCCGTATGAGGGGAAAACAAAGTAATTTTCGAAATTTTCTTCATTATATGAATACACCTAGAAATTTTTAAAGACTAAAAAGATTTTCTTTTTTCAAATAAGATAGACTAATAAATTATATTAACTTATATCAATTTGAATAGAAATAAAAAAATATTAAGAATTGCAATGTAATAATCGATACCTGTAATAACAGTGAATAGACTATTTTATACTTTATAGTTTGATAAGTTTATAAATTGACAAAGAATTTTTGTTCCATAGAGCAAAAGATTATTACAGTCTAATATTTATTCTATGCAATAAATAATGACATTTAAGCCTTTCAATAAAAAAATCTCTGTTAAAAGGTTAAAATAATTACACGTCATTCTAGTCAATCAATATCAATCTTTTCATTTTCATGTTTCTCATTAGTCAATTATGTCAAAATACTTTTTCTTTTACAGCTGACTTCAACACAATTTCTATATATTTGATCTCTACAATAAAAATGTTTATTTTTCTAAAATTAAACAAATCATTGCATTCTTCAACCTAGCTATAAACATGAAAAGTATCAAAGAATAATTGTTTTACTGTCGTATAACTCTTATGTCAAGCTAAAACAAACCTATTTAAAATT